AAGTAATATTAAGTAATCTTTATTCATGCTACTTAAGAATTCATACTTTTAAAACTTGATATTTCATGCTTTACAGATCAAGCTGTTTAAAACCTGAGATGAAACAATTTAAAATCTGAATTGATCATAGAAAGTTCATTCAGTATCTGCTGGAAAGGGGTTCACAACTCACAGCATCAGCCAAAGACTGATGCTTTCAGAAAACCTACACAGACACTTTGTTCCAGTGGGAAAACATATTTGATCTGAATGTTACATGAAAAGTTGTAAATAAATCCCAAATACACACACCTTCTAAACTCTTATTCCCTGTAGGGATGAGCCACAACTGAAACCATTCTGAGCTCCCTGAACTCTGACAGTTTGGGTGAAATAGATGTGATTTTTCTTTTTGCACTAATTTTGGTTAAAAAACAGAAGTCCTATACTTTAAAAATCTAGCATAGCTTAGTTTGAGTATCTGTACTTAGTGCCATGTGTTCACACAGCTGTTTGATCTGCTCCAAATAAGTCTCTAAAAGAGCCTAGTTCAAGGTCTCAGAATGCAAAGCTAAATAATTTCTCAGCTATTTAATGATTAGTCAGGAATTATTTAGCTTCAAGACTCATTCAGCTCCAGAAGCAGGTGGGTTTTGCTGCAGTTAGAAGTTTCCATAACAATACCAGCAGAGCCAATTAAAAGCCAATTAGTCACGGACATTACTTCAAGGTCCAATACTTTGCAAACTCTCCCCTCTTCAATTTTCCTTCTCTGGAGCTGCCCATTCTCCTCAGTACAAAGACCCCCAGATGAATGGGGCCTGTTTGCCTGTCTCCATGGAAGCCTTGCCAGGCTCACCCCACACCAAGGCTTCCCAGGCATCTTCAGCACTGCTTTCCCCTCTGATCTTTGCCCCAAACAAATGTGTGTTTATTCACTCTTCTCATTTATAAAGACCCACTGGATGCTGTATGAATGCTAATGAGAACAGAATTAAACCTCTGTTCAGGACTGAGTGAAGATTCCTCTTTTAGCATTTACCATGACAGCAAAGCAGACCCCAGCTAGCCTCTTCCCTTATGCTGCTCTTTAGCTACAAAACCTCTGCCACTTGAAAATTAAGAGTGCAGGTTTGGCATTAAAGAAAATAAAAAGCTCCCAGATAGGGAGAAAAATGACCTAGTGGCTAAATTACATGAGGAGAAATCAAAGGATAATGGTGTTTCATTGTTCTGCTACCAAAGAGCACCACCCTGAGTCCATTCCTGCCTCCATCACCTCCCTGGAGGACAAGGATGAAATGCTGTGCACTCCAACAATGGGAACCAAGAAGCACCAAGGCAGCCCTTAAAAATTATACCTCCTGTTTGGTTGCATCTGCTTTAAAGACCAAAAACCAGAGAAAATCTAGTCAGAAATTTTAAATATCTTCCCAAGTGAAGGTAGGATCCTGCCTCAATGGCAAAATTAAAAGGAGACAGCCTCTTTCCTGCAATAGACAGCAAAGATTCATTAGTTTCCCTAC